ATTCTTCAAAGAATTGGATGACCACTATAACCAACTTTTCCATTATGGGGCCCCCAGAATCTGGCATGGCAGGGTATCTCTTTGACAAGCACACCCTGGAAGACAATGATGGGAAGAACTGAGCCTTAGGATGTTTCCCATAGCCATGAGAGGACTTCCCTGGTCACCAGGCAGCGCATGAATGTTAGGGTTACATTTATCTTTTCTGTAAGTTGTACCAAAACATCTACTTAAATTCTTTCATTTGTACCATTCCTTCAAATAAAGTAACTTGGTGACTCCCCCCCCCCAAAAAAAAAGTTAAATTGCTATTCTTTATCGGTGACTGACCTGAGAATTTCTTACTTTCCTGAGAGCTTATTAGTGCTGAAATTTTACTTTTAATGTTATATTCAGGATTTTTAAGATGTTTCATCAGAGAAGGTTGATCCAGGAAGCTGACCTCCTGCATTATCAATAAGAACAATCCTGCTGCTGCTCAGAGCACAATATCTGTCAATTATAATGTAGTGAATGTACTTGCTTGTGTTTTTCTTCCCTTCTAGACTTGGAGCTTCTCAAAGACAAAGACTGTTGTTCATCTCAGTGTCTTGCTTATAATGGGTGTCGGTGTCACAGTCCAATGTACGCATCAGGATAGATGTGGAGAGGGCTGATGGCCACTCTGAGTTTATCATAACCAGTGTTTCAATATATACATAGCTTACATCTGTTAAACATACACAGGTGTTCTGGACAATGTAATTAGCGAATGCCAAGAATTCTTAGTGATTTCTCAAGGAGCCCTCCCTTGGCCTCTGTTTTAATATTATCATGTTATTGCTGTGCTCGTATATTTTATCTTGGAGCATGCAAGCCCTCGTAGGCAATGGCCCCTCCTGCTCCTGATCTCGCGTCTCCATCTGTGCCCCCGGGCGACTGTTGCCTGGCTTAGGTTGCCTCCCCCTGGAGGTCTTACCCATCATTGGCTAACCGGCCTCCTCACCTCTGGGTCACAGTTTGTTGGCAAGCCTTTTGCAGTAATTATTAACCCTTCCTGCGTCAGGGGTGGCTACAATGGGTACTCAATGTATATTGATAAACAAATATTAGAAAATTCTATATCAAACCACATTTTCTTGTTCTTTATTGATTACTTATGAAGCACATTTCTGGATTTATAATTAGGATAAGATAAAGAGATCTGAATTTGAAATTTGATTAACTGATGATAGAAAGTTCAGGTACTTTTGAGTTTCTGTGTTCCTTTCTTTGTGGCATGACCTATAGGAGAAACTTATTATGAAATTGAGTGTATTACCTCATTAAAATCCATAAGAAATACAAACCAGTTGCCCACACAGCATAGGAACGAAAACAAAACAAAAAACCCTGTTATATAACATAGACTTTTCATTGTCTCATTTTTTGGTGGCCTGTTGCTATGGAAATCTCCCCATACTATCTGCAGACATGAATCACATTCTGGGGAGCACCACACCTGCAGTGCTGCAGTGTACCATATGGCAAACTTACTGCAGCCAAAGGAGGCAAGGAGAAACTCTTTCCACAAGTAGATTCAACATCTTAAAGGTTGAGCCATCTGTTAAATATGCTACGTTGCCTGTGTCTTGGCAATAACCAAAATTCAAAAAGCCATTTGATCTGAAAGACTGAATAGACAGATGCTGGGCTTGCACTTGAAGTGGGTAGGCCAAAGGGACTGCTGTGAAGACAGCTCCAGTAGAAACCTCAGACCTGAATTGGTTAACACTGTCTCAATCCATCAGTTGTCTGGTCTCTATCTGAACCCAGTTCATCATTAGTGTTTACAGAATGTTAGTGATTTATAGATCTATAGCTACAGAGCTACAGCTCTTGGAAAACATTTCAATGTTTGTTTCATAATATCTGTTTAACATATGACAATTGGCTAGATGGATGGATGATAGAATTGAGAAGTTAATTCTTGATGTATCTAGAGCTACAGTTGATGCAAGCAGATGATGGCTACCGTTTGTTGATCACCACACATGCAAGACCTTTATCTAAGTGTTTTAAATACATTATTTTTTATTTTCCAATATTCCTGCGTAGATAGATATTATCCCCATTTGCCCTATAAGAACACTAAAGTTAAAAGGTATTAATTTGTCACTTATAGTTTGTAAACGTGATATAAAGTTAAGGATCACTGCAATTCTGTCTGACCTCAAAGCTTGTTCTCTTGACACTACGTGATAATGTCTCTTTGAGAGGCATATCCATAGATCAAAGGTCAACGCTGTACTCTAGGGTCTGACTGCCTAGGCCCAGAAGCAAGCTCCATCTTTTACTATCTATGTGACTTCAAGCTACTTACTTAACCTTTCTTTATCTTCAGTTTTCCCATCTGTAAATGGAGGTAATAAAAGTACTCACCTAAGAGGACTCTTGAGAGAATTAAATGACCGATTACATAAGGCCTAGTAAACGCCATGTAGATGCTCAATATGTGTTAATTACCATTGTATTCATTCACTAATTTGAAAATGTGGCATATTAGTTTTGGATATACAAGGATGAGTAATACATTTTTTCTTCTAGGGCAGCATGTTTACTAGGGCAGTAGTTCTCAAACTGTGGTTCCCAGACTAGCAGCGTTACCCTCAGCTATGAACTTGTTAGAAAAGCAAATTAGCAAGCCTCATCCAAGATATTCTGAACAAGAAACTCTAGAGATAAAGCCCAGCCATCTGTGTTTTAACAAGCCCTCCAGTGATTTGATGCACACCAGTGTTTGAGAAGCATTAGTGTGGGATAAAACATGTTGTCTTTCCTGGTTTTACCCAAGGCCAACTCAATCCTGAGACACTGTGGTTTTTCTAGAATCAATTCCCACAGCTTCAAATGGATGACACAATTACTTTGTTCTGTGAGCCCATCTAATCACTAAGATTCCTGATTAATAGTTAATCATTTTGTCATGACTGCATTTGAAATGATCGATTATTTTATAATGGTTTCCTCTTGTGGGGAATGAGACGTAACACTGTGATTATCACAGCCATTAGAAGACTCTGCTGGAATTTCTCCAGAGTTGAAGCAGACAGAACATTGGAGGGTGCCCCTAAATCAGGCTAGTCTCCATTTCGCCATAAAAAATATTAACATTTAATTAGTTTTTTCTGACTAGGGATTATTTGAATTAACTTTGTAAGGCTTTTTCTAAGTTTCACATTGTTTGTTAAAGTTCATGAGTAGAAAATGACGCATTGGCAAACTTTCAGATTAAGCCCGCTTCGAGGCAGGAACAAAATTCACAGGAATGTATTTGAGCCTCGGTAAGATTCATTTAATACCATTCTCAAAAATGAAAAAGTGCTTATTTTACAAAAATCAAAAGAGAGGAAATTAAATTAAAATCATTTTTATCAATGTTTTTAGACAAATGAGAATGCTTAAATGGTTAAACATTTCAACCTCCCCCAATTTTTTAAGCCATTTAGCCTTCCTAAGTCTCTTAATCTATAAAACAAAGGCGTTATTTCAATTGATTTTTTAGTTTTTTTCTAGCTGTGAGAAAAGAACGGTGCAATGACTCTATCGGAAACTATCGTTTACATTGAGGAATACAATGTTTAATTCCTTTGGATGTCTTTCTAAGATAGACTCAGCTCTAACTAGGTAAAAATTTTAAGCAAGGTCTTTTGAGATTTCCACAAAAAGTATCAATTTGGTAGACTTTACAGCAGTTCTTGGACAGCTGGCATCCAGTAATTATATAGAAGCTCTTGATTTGAGCAGACAGAAAATCCCAATTAGGTTGAGGGTGTTAATCTATCTGCCCAGCTGACCCTTAATATCTCCATCTGATTTATAGATATATTACTATTACCTATCTCATAAATATTACCTATCTCATACAGGGATTGCATAAGGTTATAAGTGGTAATAAACCTAATGCTTGACTCACATATAGAAGGAGCTCCACATACATGCTGTTATTATTCTAGCACAGTGGTTTCTAAGCTTTGCCATGTATCAGAATCACCCGGGAGCGGAGCTTCTTTAAAAATATAGATTCTTAGGTCCCATCCCAGAGATAAAGTGGGTTCACCAAATCTCCATTTTTAGCAAGTTCCCCAGGTGTTTAGAATACAGCTTATCTTGTGTCTTAGGGTTTTTCAAAGAAAGGAAATCAGTAAAAAATATAAATGTAGGGAGAAGAGAGATTGCTCTATTTTAAGGAATTGGCTCATGCGATTGAAGGAGTTGGCAAGTCTGAAATCTGCAGGGCATACCAGCAGGCTGGAAACTCAGGCAAGAATTGACGTTGCAGTCTTGAGTCTGAATTCCACAGGGCAGCAAGGCAGAAATTCAGGCAGGGTTTCTATGCTGTAGTCTTGAGGAGAATTCCTTCCAGAAACTTCCATCTTTGCTCTTAAGGTCTTCAACTGATTAAATGAAGCCTACCCACATTATGGAGAATAATCTGCTTTACTCAAAGTCAACTGATTTAAATATTAGTCATATCTAAAAAATCCTTCACAGCAACACTTAGATCAGTTTTTGACCAAACAAGCAGGTGGAGGGAGAAGGAATGATAAGGTTGGCTCAGACGTGAAAGAAGTAGGGAGAGCCATATTTTTTTAAGCATAGAAGTCAAGACCAGTATTACAACCTTCTGAAGTTTAAGCATTACTCAACCTTCGCTTCTCAATAGCTAGATGCAACTCGAAAGACCTGGAAGACTTTGGGGGTGTGGGAAGAGTCAGTGAGTGACTTGAGGAGTGCAGAGGAGCTGAAATAAGAGGTATTAATATTTACCTTAAGGTATTAGTATTTACCTTTAATGTTTTAGATGTTGTTGCTGCTTGTGAGTAAAAACTAATACATGTAATAGGGAAAGACAACACAGAAACTAATTCTAGTGCCCAGTTCCTACGCAGGGGCTAGAGCCAAGATTAGATGGTTCAGATGTTGGGAAGAAGCAGCCAAACTAACATTTTCAAGACCGTGTCATTCAGAAACCATGTAGCTGGAGCATACAGATTATCTTATTTAATTCAAACAGATTCTAGAAGTTTTTACAGATGAGACAATTGAACTTCGAATTCCTTAAGTAAATTGCTTGGAGTCATACAACTTTTTAGATCCATAGTTCACATCCAGGTCTGTCTGACTTGAAAGCCCATTCTCTCTTTGCTTCATCATTCTGCCCCTGGAAAAGTGGAAAGGAAAGAGTCATGAAGGAAGTTGCTGCATCAAATTTACACAGACTGCTTCTGTCCAAGGTGGGTCTCTCGAAAAAGCCTGGATTCTGCCTTCCTGGCTGTGCCTGATTCTCTCTTAAACTAGGTCAGCCTCACTGCCCCTACTCCCTGAGGGCAAGTGGGAGTATCCAGGAAAACCTCAGGGCCTGGGCTCCTCGAGGCCTAGATTTGGTATGGAGACAGAGCAAGACTGGTTTATGAACCACAGAGCTTGAGCCAAATGTGTCTGAAAGGAAGTACCCAACTTGGAACCTAACTTGAAATCCTGGCAAATAGAACCAAGGTGTCAATCTAATGCAGAGAGAGGATCCAGGTCTGAGGCGATGGGAAAGAAATGAGGCTTGCCAAACCAGAGCCAGAGGCATCAGAACAGAGGGGAGAGGGAATGCGCTTTTTGATAAAACTCCTGAGACAAACTCACCAGAGTCACATAGGCACACTGTGTCTAGATCTTGGCTCCCCTATCACTTATAAGTGGTGTGACCTTGGACAAGTTACTTAGACTTCCTAGGACTCTGTTTCTTCATAGGTAAAACATCTAAGCTTATATCCATAAGTGTTCAATAAATTGCAGCTGTTTTTCTTAATTATTACTAACCATTGTTGAGAAGAGTGCTATAAGAGATGGGATATGTTTGATGCTTCACAAGTCTCACCTGAAACTGCGTTCTCCCAGGGGACTCTGAGTGATCTAGTCTTGCCTCCTTTCCCTAGTGCTGGAGACAACCAGAGAGCAGGGGATCCATGACATGAATCTCACAGGTGACTGTCACTAGTATTTGCATTGCTATAGAGCAAAATGCAGGTAACAGCAGACATATGTCGAAAGGGAGCTAAGGTGGAAGAAATCCAAACTTGTTCTTCCATCAAAGGAGGTAAGAAGAGAGTCAAGGCCCACAGCCCAAACCGGGAAACTGAAGGAACCAGGAAAGCTGAGCATGAGAAGAAGAGAACAGGTATTCAGGAGTCAGCTAAAATGGATCCCCAAGATAGAATGGCCACCCTGGCTGTGGCAGGGTTTAGAGAGGTTTCAGTGAGGGTTTGTTCAGTCTTAGACAAACCAGTTCCCTTGAAAGAACCAGAATAGGAGACGGAAGAGTGGATAACCGTTAACATCTAGTTTATGACTTCTTGAGAAGGCAACGTTCTCCAAAAATAACGTGCCAGAATGTAAACATTAGACCTTACTCTACCACACAGATTCCCCAATCCTGGAAGTGGAGAGAGGCCTTTGGCTACTATAGGCCTCCCTCCCAAGTCTCAGGAGACTGACTTCTGGGGGCACAAGCACGTGCTGGCTCTCACCCACCCAAAGTGCCCTTTTTTCCCGTGTCAGATGAACTAAGGATGCTTTATCTGATTTGCCTGCTTACTTTTCCACTCTTGGTTACCTGCCTCCTGGAAAGGGAAAATGAGGAGTCTTAACCTCGAACGTGCCAATCTGATTTCACCTCGGGCCTGGCACAGTTCTTCACCAACATGCTGCGCTACCTTAATGCCTGGGTGGGTTTTGAGAGAGCTTGGAAATCTTCCTCCTCGTATCCTACCAAAATTCATCACTTGAAATAAATTCCTGTGAGGTTTCTCAAATGTTCGTTTCTGCTGTTCTTATCAGACTGAAGGATCTGAAATACCATCTGTTTTCTCTTAGAATTCGGGTACCTCGTAGAGACACAATTTTATTTCTTCTACCTCTTCGCTGCTATATGTTACTAATGTGAGGGGAAAAAAGAACTATGGCTTTGGCCGTGGGTGGTAAGAGGCACTGAGTCTTTTTGATAAAAGCAGACATTTCTTGCTATAAAGTGACATTGCTCATTTTTAGAAAATTTCTTTGGAAGATAGCCTTTAAATTTGTTTCTCATCCAGGGAAAAAACAGGAGAACCATTTTTACAGTCCCTCTATTCGACGGGACAATTTAGACTCCATGATTAGCTATTTTTCTCTAATTTGCGAGGGATTAATTCACTGCTGACCTAAATTCCTTCACCGTGACAAAACGAGAATGGTTTCCAAGCAACCGGAAATTACTGACATGAGGATTCAATCTTTCAGCATTTTGCACAAAAGCCAAGAAGTCCATTCTGCTGGTCAGATGGATGGAAGGTGCATGATGAGACGCCTGGGACCTCTGCAGACCGACAAAACTGCTTAACTGTCAAGCACAGAGCCTGTGCCTGCACGGTTGGGCCCATGTTGTTCTCGGTGGGGAAGATGCCACACAAAGTCCATTGTGCTGAGAAATCCCCAAAGACCCTTCCCATTATTCTTACTCTGACGGAATATAAGTAACAGGTATACACAGAGTATTTCCCAACAAAAATGTGCAACTAAATGTCATTTCAGTCTTAGGAATTGAAATTGTCTCTAATTTTTTTCACAGCCCGAATTTTCTTGTATTTGTAGAGCAGATTAAATGATACAAAGTGGGCTCAACACACAGGAAGTGCTCAGTGGAGTGTCAGAGGTGATTTAATCATTGGTGATGAAGGGGTCAGGTAGGCCTAACGGCAAGTCAGAACCTCCCCACGGATGACAGCGAAGTTTTTGTATTTAGCAAAAAAGGATTTTATTTTTCAGTTTGAGTAAACCTCTCCTTTTTTTTTTTTTCGTGAGGAAGATTGGCCCTGAGTAAACATCTGTTGGCAATCCTCCTCTTTTTACTTGAGGAATATTGTTGCTGAGCTAACATCTATGCCAATCCTCCTTTATTTTGTACGTGGGATGCCACCACAGCATGAGTTGATGAGAGGTGCATGGCTCCATGACAGGGATCCAAACCCATGAACCCTGGGCCACTGAAGTAGAGTACATGAACTTAACTGCTACACCACAGGGCTAGCCCCTGAAACTCTTCAACTTACAAATGAGAAAATGAAGTTGTTTGCTCCAGTTCAGTGATCATAAAGTTGAGATCCTAATCCCTAAATGCTGAATTCTTTTCTACGTCATAGTGAACAGCATCCTAACCAACTTGAAGTTCTCTGACAACCTCCAGGCTCATAGTTTGATCTAAAGCAAAGCATTGGAGGGCTGGACCAGTGGCGCTGTGGTTAAGTTCCCACGTTCTGCTTCTCGGCCGCCCAGGGCTCGCCGGTTCAGATCCGGGGTGTGGACATGGCACCGTTTGGCAAAAGCCATGCTGTGGTAGGTGTCCCACATATAAATCAGAGGAAGATGGGCGCAGATGTTAGCTCAGGGCCAGTCTTCCTCAGCAAAAAGAGGAGGATTGGTGGCAGATGTTAGCTCAGGGCTAATCTTTCTTAAACAAAAAATTAGAGCAAAGCATTGGAGCCAGGCTGATTTGAATTTCTAGGAGGATACAAAATGTATTTATTTTGTAATGAAAACCAAGAAAGGAAACTCAAATAGCTCGTTGGTAATTACTCCCTGCATAAGCTCCTGTTTGAAATTGTACACATTTCAATTTCTGTCAACTCTCACACGTGAAAGACCACCAGTAAATTTCTTATGATTTAGGAATCTTAGGTACTTAATGTATAAAATAGGAGTAATATTTATTTAGAGAAGGTGTTGCTAGAATTTTAAAAACAAGTTAATAAGTACAATCCCTGGTGCCTTTTCCTTTTCCCCGAAATTTAAAAAGCAATAAAATATGGTAAAATAAAGGCTGTACTAAGGCAGTCAAAGTGAGGGAAGGACTTTATGTAGAGCCAGAGAATAAGAAAAAGAAATTTTCACAGGGGAGGTAAGATGAGCAGCCTCCCGAAGATTCCACAGCAAAGAAAGTGACAAATGGAGCCAGCATTCCAAATAGAGGGTCTAGCTTGCAAAAGATGCAGACCATGAGGTTCTTGAGAACAGGCGGAGGAAATATGCGTGGGGAGGCTAATCATTGAATTTGGTCTTTTTTTTCTCAATTCAGCATTGTACTGTTGAAAATTTTAAGCAAGTGAGTGTATGATCCTATTTGCATTTCAGAAAGAAAGAGTTATGAGTAGGCTCTACTAACTAGCTCCATCTGTGCTAATCAAACTTTGCCTTAACCACTGGGAAGAATATAATCATTGAGTTACAGAATGATTCACAACAAAGGCACAACTAGGACTAAACTTCCTCTGGCTTTATGATTACCATCTAACAAAATAAAATCTAAGTTCTACTTATAACTTAAATCCCCTCTATGTCTATATGATAATGGGCAATCTAAATTTTTCAGAAATATTGAGGTATTGATGGAAAAACAGGTTTCTCCTAAATCTTTTTATATATCTGAGAAGTGACAGAAATTGGGGAGGAATTGAAAGGCATACAGTTTAAAATGGTGGCTTATTCAGATGGCAATTTCAATTATTATCTGAATTCCCTTTATTACTTTTAAACACAAAAGGGATATAATATATGGAAATTAGATAAATCTATCTTTTCTGGTTAGTAAGAATAGGAAAAAGCTTGAGAAAAAAGAAACCAGCAAAATTATAATCAAAGGTATTTTATTTTCTGGGATTAGTGTCCTCCAAATTGTTAAGCAGTTAAGAAGGAAATGGAGAATAAAAGGGCAGAAGAGTAAAACCAGTTTCGGGAATAGACCATTCACCTTCTTGAAACTTTTTTCAGAGCTTTCACTGTACATAATTACTGTTCCTTTGATAATTCTTTGAAAAACAAAAGTACTATCATTGGTCTTCTGAAAATGGGAAGGTTGCCAGGTTCAAGTAGGATATTCTGTATTTTCCCATGTGACTGTATCTTGATTTGGTGTTAACAAGTCCATGTTCACATCACTTCGTTGGGCTGCACAAAGTGGTGATAAGCAGGAGTCTGAGGCCATGACTTGTCTTTGTGTTGCTGGCGGCTCAGCTCTGCAGAAGCCCAGGCTGCAGTCCTGGCCCAAGACCAAGAAAAAGCTTCGTGTCTATCACATTCGAAAGTCTTTGTACACCGAGGGTTGAGTGTGAGGATTCCTTTGGAGTCTGTCTGGGCAAAGCAGTAGTGTGCCACCTTTAATCAAGATTTCTTGGTATATCTTGCACATCCTCTTTCCTTCAAAACTTCTATATCCTGATGTTTTAGATGTGGCTCTTGTGCATGGCATATAGCTGAGTTTTGTTCTTTTTTTATCCAATCCAGAAATGTTTTTATTTGTTAGATCATTTACTCCATTTATATTAAATGAAATCACTCACACATATGGGTTTAAACCTGCTATCTTATTATGTGTTTTCTGTTTGTCATGCCAACTCTAGGTTCCTTTTCCTCTCTCATCTTACCTTCTATTAGATTGATTACTTTTGGCAATTCCAATCCTTCCCCTTCCAACCCTTCCCCCTTAGAGGTTACATGCCCCATGTCTACTATTTTCAAGATTACCCTTTAGCATGCATCTTTAATTTATTAAAGTCTAGTATTAACTGATATCTTTATTTTCCCCCAAGAGAATGCAAAGAACTTAGAACAATTTAACTTCAGTTATTATTCCTCCTCATGGATATGATATTATTGTCGTGTATTTTCATTATACATGTGTAAGGGAATATATTAAAGATTCACGATTTATACATTTATATATGTATATTTAGACATTCTACAAAATTATGAATATTTTATTTTATATTCAATTTTCATTTAGATTTACTCACCATTTTTATTACTTCATTTGCTCTTTTTCCTTCCTATATTTCTGAGCTTTCTCCTGGTATAATGTTCTTACTGCCTCAGCTACATGTTGACAAATCCTATTCCACTGGATCTACTGGAACTGAACTCTCTCATATTTTTCTTATCTTAAAACATGTTTATTTTGCCTTCATTCATAAGGGATATTTGCACTGGTCATAGGTTTCTAGACTGTCAATTACTTCCTTTCAGTGTATTGAAGACATAATTCCATTGCTTTGTGCTTCCAATGTTACATTTGAGAAGTTAGCTATCAGTTTAGTTGCTGCTCATTTAGAGGTAAGTTGTCTGGCTGATTTTAAGATTTTTATCTTTGTCTTTGGTTTTCCAAAATTTCTGTATGATGTTCTCGGCTGCGAATTTCTTTTATTTATCCTATTTTGGATTCTTTGGGCCCTAACATCTCTAGATTAATGTTTTTTATCAATTTTAGAATATTTTCAGCCAATATATTGTCAAATATGGCTTCTGTTTTGCTTTGTCTCTCCCGTTCTTCTGAGGCTTAAGTTAAATGTATGTTGGACTTTGTCACTGTAACTTTGAAATTTTCTATGTATTTTCTCTTCTTAATTTACACTGGATAGTTCTCCTGACCTATTTGCCAGTTCACTAAATCTCTCTTCAGCTGGTTCAATTGATTGCAAACCCATCCATTGAGTTTCTAATACAGACTGTTTTTATTATATTTTTTCAGTTCTACAATTTCTGTGTGTGTGACTTTTTTTAGTTAACTATGTCACTTTTTATAATTTTCAATTCCCTGCTAAAACTTTCATGCTTGGCTTTTATCTCCTCAAACACATAAACATAGTTTTTTATAGCCTATGAGGGACACTTCTAATACCAGAAGTCCCTGTAGGTCTGCTTCTATTGTCTATTGATTCTTCTGGTATTTGCTTATAGAATTTTGCATCCTTTTGTATCTGTTTATCTTTGATTATGTATTGGATATTTGTTTGAAAAACAAATAGAATAGTTTGATATCTAGGATGTGATTATCTTCCTCCATAGAGAATTTACATTTTCTTCTGCCAAGTGCTTAAGAAGCTAGAAGTCTGAGCCAACCTTAAACAAGAAAGTTTGAAGTTTCCTGGACCACACAAATGACCCAACCCAAGCACTGATTTACTTATAGGACCTACTTAAATCTCAGATTAGAGTGGGTTTGTTTATCAGAGTTCCAAACTTCGATATGCCTAGGGATTTTATTCTGTAAGACTGCAAAAAGCACAGTACCTCTACCCAGCTGCCTTCACTGGATCTACAAATATTCCAAGGGCAAAAGTACATCTGCATCAGTCAAGGTCCAATCACAACATAAACCACCATAAACTTTTTTAACAGAGAGAATTTAATACAAAGAATTGCTAACTGGATATAGAAAACTAAAGGAACTAATGAAGACATAAGTATTTACCACCCCTAGTGCTAGGGAAACAAAGAGATGAGAATGGAATTGCTAAATCTTAGAGGCTTAGAGGAAAGGAACTTCAGATAGGTGACTCAGACCTATGAGAAGGGGCCTCAGCTGGCTGGTGCTGTTCTCTCTGAAGGGGCATGAAGGGATTAGTTCTGGTAGTAGAGAAAAACGGCAATGTGGACCAACCTGCTGCTACTGCCAGGGTTAAGAACTACTGCTGTGGTTACACTGATAGGAACAGAAAGAAAACAGGAAAAAACAAATGTCTCTTTTTCTTCTTCCAGCCTTTCTGTCTCCTCTATTAGCAGGGCCTAATGGGAGCCAGTTGGCAAATGAGTAATGTGTGTTGTAGACTTCCAGGTGTAGTGTATAGCCACACCTCTCCAGTCTCTCATCCTTTCTTAGACCTCAACTGGTATCTCTACGCTATCTTGTTAGCTCTTTGGAGTTTTTAATACACTAGTCAGCATTTTATTTGTCTCAAATGTCTAGTCAGCCATTAGTGGAAGTGGACTACCTGTCTTGCAACATTACAGGATTAGAGACAATGCACTAAGTGTTAGCAGTACATTCTTCATTCACATATTTTTCTCCTTGAAGCTTTGAAGTGAGAAATTTGGTGCAGCATTGACTAATAAAAAACAAAACTTTTATTGCCCTGATTGAAATATTTGACTTTATCTCTGCCACTTTCATAATTTTTTTCAGTTATATCTGGTGGTATTATTTTTTATATTATTTTTAAAAAGAAGAAGAAGCAAAAAATAAAAACCACTAGAAGGAGGCAAATAATAAGGGAAATAAGTGTTCTGGACATTTTTCCAGATTTCTAGCATTAATATAAGAGTATCTCATGTAGTTTCTATTTTTATAGGAGAATATCATTTCTGTCAAAAAAGATATTCATAACTCTGTATAAGAATTTATCAGTTATCATTCTTTAATTTTCCTCTTACTTTCTCTGATGATTAATTTTATGGGTCAATGTGGCTGGGCCATGGTATCCAATTTTTGGCCAAACACCAGTTTAAGTGTTGCTGTGAAAAATGTTTTTTAGATTTGATTAACATTTATGTCAGTAGACTTTGAGTAAAGCAAATTACCCTCCATGATGGGGGTGAGCCTCTTCCAATCAGTTGAAAGCCTTAAAAAAAAAAAGAGTGAGGTCCCCAAGGAAGAAGGAATTCTGCCTCCAGACTGCCTTTGGACTTGAACTGCAGCATCAACTCTTCCCAGGGTCTCGAGCCTGCCGATCTGCCCCACAGATTTCAGAATAGCCACCCCTCACAATCGTGGGAGCCAATTCCTTAAAATAAATTGTTAAAAAATACACATACACAGATCCTATTGGTTCTATTTCACTGGAGAACCCTGACTAATACTCACTTGCCGGTCATGCCCAATAGCCTGTGACTCTTTTGAATTCAGGGATCATATTTTTCTTCTCAGGTGTCTGCTTCAATGCGGCATCTAGAGAGAGTTCAATAAATTTCCTCAAACAAATTAACGATAGATAGTTGTTAAGATCTCTGAACATTTAGCTACCAGAACAAAATGAAATAGATATTATCTTCCAACATGCCAATGAGAAAGAGTATAAAGAAATTAAAATATGCCATTCTATGTGATATTTATATGTGTACCTGTGATTGTGCATACATGTGTGTATAAACATAGATGATTGATATATGGGTAGAAGGAAGATAAGAAGGAAGGAAAGAAGAGAGAAAGGGAGAGAAAAAAAGGAAGAATTTTGAATGTTACTAAGCAGACTTTTTCATTGCCATCGTTTAGGTAGAAAGTACTCAGAAAGTGAGAAATACCTTATTTACTGCCCTCTGAGGGAGAGCATATACTTTCCTAGAACACAGGGTCAAAACTGTTGGTGGTGAGCTCCAAAATAAGCTCTTAAAACTCATCGAGGAGAGAACAACCTTGAAAATAAAGGTTTTTATTGAAGGCTGAGTTGTTGGCGAAACAAGGAACTTTTTGTGTTTAAACTCAAAGCAGAAAGTTGAAACCAAAAATAATACAGTTGAGAAAAATCATGAAGATAAAAGTTTTCTTTACATGAGATGAGGAGATAAAATCACTTCTTCATTGGGGGAACTTTTTTTTTTTTTTTTTTTGCGTATAAACAGAAAACAGAGCAAAACAGTAGATGACGAAGAGATCATGAAAGAGTTCACTGTCTTCAACCCCTAACTCTAGATCAGATCCTCGCAAAGAGAAATGATAGGGTCCTCAGATAAGTCTTGGAGAACACCTTGAGAGAGGCACTTCTTGCGTCACTTCCTGGCTGAAAGCCCTGTAAAGAAGTTGTTTGTTTGGTGGGGTTAAGCATAGTAAAGGAGAAAAGTCTGAGTAGATACCTAGACAAATGGGCCTAAAAGCATCAGCAAAATTTAAATCCCCACAGGGTTGTATAGAAAGGTTCATTTTCTATGTCCCAGGAGAGAAGTACAAAGGCTGAAACTAGGCAGGCCAGAGGATGTGGACCTGTTGACCAATGGCCACAGTGAAACCAGCAATGACCTCAGCAGAGCCAGTGTATGCAAGCAAATGACCAAAGACCAGTGCTAAAATAAGGTATTGAACACCCACAAAAGACAGAAGACAACAATGGACCAGATGTCCCAATCCAAAGGCAGGACAATGCCTACACCTACCACCTCTCCCCACCCACGGAGAGAGGTGGACAAGTAAAGGGAAGTAATAGCAGGAAGGAAACCCCTAGACTGAATATTTTCCTAAAGAAGGTCAAGAAATATCTGAAAATGACTAAACTGACCTGGAAACAAATAGATCAAGAAGTTCGCTATTTATCAGAAGGGAAAGAAAAGCACTGGTTTGCTCAGTTACAGAACAATAAAGTCAGTTTTGGTCACCTGAGTTGTATCACAGTGAAAAAGTCACGGCTAGCATGTACATATGTGGAAGTGATACATTGACTCAGTCACAATGTCGAAACTATCAGATCAAAGAGAAAGGAGAGCTCTCGGAGGGCGGGACTACCCTAGATGGTCCAGAGGGCAGAGCAGCCAGCCCCAGAGGGTTATTTTCAGATCTTGAAACCTAAGGGAATTTGCTTTGCTAGTTTTAACTTGCCTGGGACAAGTGACCCCACTATTCCTTCTATTTTTCTCCCTTTCAGAACGACTATCCTATGCATGTCTCACTATTGTATTTTAAAAGCAGATGCTTGTTTTCTAGTTTCTCAGGTCTGTGGATGAAGATTTTGCTCCATGATGGACCATATCCAGAATTTCACCCATACCTGATTTAGGTGACAAAATTTGAAACTTTTTGAATTGATATTCAAATGAGATTTGGAACTTCCCATTAATGATGGAATGGATCAATACTTTTGGAAATATTGGGATGGAGTGAATGTCTTTTGCATATAGGACGGATGTGAATTTGGTGGGCCAGAGGGTAGACTGGGTCAAATAGCGTCCCCCAAAATTTCACGTCCAGCCAGGACCTCAGAATGTGGCTTCATTTGTAAATAGTCTTTGAAGATGTAAGTAGTTAAAATGAGATTGAAATCCAATATGACCGGTGTCAGGTAAGAAGAGGAGAAACACAGAAACAGACGTACACAGAGAGGGAAGATGGCCATGTAAAGATGGAGGCGGAAATTGGAGCGACACAGCTGACAGCCAAGGAATGCCAAGGATTTCCGGCAACCACCAGGAGCTGGGAAGAGGGAAGAGGCGAGGAATGTTTCTCGCCCAGAGCCTTCAGCTCTGCCGACACCTTGATTTCGAACTTCTAAGGTGATAGAATACATTTTTGTTATTGTAATCCACCCAGTTTGTGACAATTTGTCACGGCAGCCCAGGAAACTAATGCAGCTACTAAACACATACATGTTTTGTACAAACACCTAAGTTTTTATTTTTGTTGGGTAAATACATAGGCCTGGAATTGCTAAGTTGTATTTTAAGTGTATGTTTAATTTTATTAAAAAGCTGATACTGTTTTTCAGAGAGGTGATACTCTTTTACGTTCCCACCAGCTTTGTATAAGTCTCAGTTTTACCATTTCCTTTCCAACACTTGTTATTTTAATGTTAGCTGTTTAAATGAATGTGTAGTGATATCCCATTGTGATTTTAATTTGCACTTCTGTGATGACTAATGATGTTGAGCATCTTTTCACATGCTTGTTTTATATTTGCATCTCTTCCTTGGTGAAGTACTTAATCAAATATTTTCTTCATTTTTTAAAATTAGGTTGTTTGACTTCTTAATATAGACTTGTAACTGTCCTTTATGTTTTCAGAATACAAGTCCTTTGTCAGATAAAACATTTTTCTCTGTGTCTGAAGCTTGCCTTTTCATTTCCTTAAAATGTCTTTCAGAGAGCAAAAGTTTTTACTTTTGATGAAGTCCATTTAGTGTTTTTTTTCTTTTATGGTTCATACCTTTTTGTCTTAGAAAACTTTTCTACACCAAGGCCACAGAGAATTTCTACCATGTTTTCTTCTGGAGCTTTATAGACTTAGATTTTAATTTTAGGTCTATAATCCTTTTTGAGTTAATTTTTATGTTCAATGTGAGGTGGTTAAAGTACGTTTTTTCCCTTTCCCGTTACTTACCCATAGGCTTGATTTAACAAACTTCAGTAAAGCTTCTCTCCTCCCTACAGGACTTTGGTGTAACCTTGGGCTTAAGCAAGCAAGAAGGTGCAGAAAATCCACCCTTAATGGCTTATTCTGAGAATCAGCTGACCACAGAGGGAAAAAAATAGTTTGTTGTTGTTAAGCTGCCCCAATCATGCCATCTGCTCACCCCCACACACTTGCCCAATTCCCTCACAACATTCCTTCTTGCCTGCTTACCCCTCCCTATACAAGAAAAGCCTGCTTCTGTTTGATTTTGAGATGCTTCTACATCTTATGACCAGGCTGGAGAAGCTACATGTACACGCTCCCCTTGACGGCTGAGCCCAGCCTTCCAGCCAAGGTGCCAGACAGGTGAATGAAGCTGACTCCTCTGGACTTGTCCATCTTCCAGCAAAGTAGCAGTGAATGACCTCCATTCATACTGTTGATGCTACACGACATAATAGAAACAGCCAGGCAAGCTCTGTCAGCTTCCTAACCCACACAATTGTGGATATAATAAAGCAATGTTTGTTTTAGACTACTAAGTGTTAGGGTAGTATGTTACACAGCAGTAGCTAAATGGAACAGCCAGGAAAGGGTTTGAAGATGGGGAATGACATGATCAGATTTGCACTGTAGAAACAGCACTGGAACTGTGGAATGGATGCCAGATTTGGGGTCACAGAGGCCGGGAAGAAAGATTTTATTATAAAGAGATTATGGACCCTTTGAACTGGAGGAATGGCATAGAATTTGGCACAGGTGTCTTTCATCAGTGTTCAAGAAAAAGAAGATATGGTCAAAAGATACAAACTTTATTTTAAGATTTTTGGTATGTGTTGCCAAGATGTTTGACAGAAGGTTGTGCCAATTTATTTCTTTACCACCTCCTGCCCAATATCAATATACTAACATTTAAAAACCTGCTTTGGGACCAGTTTCACAAGGAAAGCTAAAATATAATTTTAATTAGCATTTTATTGATTATTATTTATGTTCATCTTGTTCTTTGTTTTGTTTTCAAATATTTCTATGCTGCTGTTTGTTTATATATTTGCCTTTTTTGGAGGGAGAGTGGATTCTGGATTTTTTTCCCTCACTACTTTTATGTGCTCGTAGCGAGGTTTTATCTGTCATATTTTTAGCAAATATTTTACTAGTCTCATGCCTTTTTTTTTTTTAGGATTTTTGATGTATAGATGACTTTTATTATAACTAGTGAACTTTATTTCCCTTTCCTTTAAGAGATCTTTCACTATGAAGTTTTAAATTTGTTTCACATCCATAATCAGATAACTATTCACCTGTATTCCTTTGATTTGTATGGTTTTATGTGGGATTTTTTTTTTTTGCATCCAACTCTTTAGTCCATATGAAATTGACTTTGTTTTATAGAGTGAGTATCTAAAATTATTGTTTGCCAAGTAAACAACCATTGTTATCATAACCATCACTTAAATTATTTCAAACAACTTCTTGATGATATTGCTAGATGATACATTCAGGATCTGTTTTGGAACTACTGTCTGTTTGGAACCACTCCATTGATCCATCGACTTTTGTTTATCATTTTATTTTAATTATTATGACTTTATAGGAGACATTTATATCTGGTAAAGCAAGAGTTTCCCTCTTACTTTTTGAAAGTTTTTATAATTTTCATTCATTTGTCTTCCAGGTGAATTATAGAATCACTTTGACAATCTCCTCCTAAATTCCTCAAATGTTTATTGCCTTGCATCAAAATTAAAAATTAATTTCAAAAGAATTTAATATGTTTTAGTAGTTGAAAAAGAGATGATTCTTCCATCTATTCAAATCTTATGTTTTGTCCTGTTTAAATTTTGTTGAAGTAAACTTATCTTCTGGTACTTTATATTTTA